GACTTTGATATACTGCTGATTTGTCATTTCTTTTTAAAGCATTTTAAGACTTTAAGACCATACTGGGTGCACACCTACTCAATCATATCTTGAAGTTTAAAACACACAAAAATCAGGCTTGTAATGACAAAGACATGAATCTTTCCTCTAATGTGCATTTCTGTCAGTCAGTTTAACCTTCTGTCTACGTATAATGGTGTCTGTATCCTAGTATAAACAAGCGTCTGTGTAAAAATGCTTTGAATTTATATGTGTTGGCTACATTTTCAACATTTTGCTTGGTGTTAGACTGTCTATCTCTAGAGTATATTTTTGCTTTTCTGTCTGACCTTCATCCACTGTTCTGAGATCACTGTCTGGTATTCGGTATTGCCCAAATAAATGAATTCACATTCTCTCCTGCTAATATGGGACAATTTTGTACAGAGCTGCTAGCCACAAAAAGTGTCAGACTTCTCTGAGAAGTGAAGGGGTACCATATTATAAAGTCAAGCCTTAAAAAGTTCAGAACTGATTAGTCATTGGCTGTGGGTACCCCCAAAATAAATCTGCACTGAGACAAGAGCTGGATCAATGCCTCAATTACTGCAGTTGGTTCAAGTCCCTCAAATTCTAGAATGACCAGTCATGAAGAAAGAATGTGTAGTATTCCTCTTCATCATCTGGAACTGAGTAAAACTACATAGGAAAAGTCTCATTGAAGTTGAAGGGCTGCAGGTAGACTTATACATGGAGATTCTGACGCTGCTGTGTACATTCTGAATTTTTTAAATTAATAATTTAATTACTTTCTGTGATATTATCTCCAAGCTAGTCTATCTAAATGCCCTAAAGATACCAGATCCCACCATATGAACTTGTAACCTAAGCAAGGTTGGTTTTGGTTACTACTTGGATAAGAGAATGCCAATCAATAAATGTTGTTATATAATTTATGTTTAATGTTTATTGTGTTAGATGTAGATTAACTGGTTGCTTTATGTTTCTATTTATGTATTGGATCTGGCATTGAATGTTTGCCATCTTTTGTTGTAATCCATCCTGAGTCCCCTTGGAGGGATAGAGCAGAATAGCAATGAAGACTTTTTCTTGACTAAGAAAACCCTATGAAATTCCTGGAGTCATCACAAGTTGACAGGTGTCTTGGAGATGCACACCCACACCTACACATACACACACACTTGAAAACTGAGTCACGTATCTGCAGCACCATAATATGGTGTTATTTCAGGGTCTTAGTTACCTTAATTCAGCCTTGAATGAAGACATACTCTAGAGATCATGCCTCAAATTCCATTGATCATCACCTTGAGAAAAAAGTAGCCAGAGAAGAAGACTGTGCAAAAATATTGTGGAATTCTAAAAAGAGATAATGCCTCATTTATCTTACGGCACTCTAAATATTCATGACGACCAAGATTGCAAAGAGGAAAAAGTAAAACAGTAATTAAAACAAAGTATACATTGTAGATTTTATTACGTCATGATCACTTTGTTTAAGCAAACAAAACATTATGTCATTGGAACAATCTTTTTTCATAATTCAGTGCAGTTGTGTGATGCTGGCACTTTGTTGATACAAATTTTCACAGTCTTCTCCACAGCCTCACTTCCATGTTTGCCCTACTTAGTACATATATCATGTGCTTTTCTCTCTCTTTCTCCTCCTTGCTCCCAGCCATATTTTTGTGGATCTGTGCAACCTTCACTTCGCAATATCAGCACTGCAGTAGAAGGAAATTGAATACACCAACATTTTTTGGATAAAACTCAACCTGCACTTTCTAGGTTCTACCAGAGCCTTTTGGCCCTTCCACACAGCCCTATATCCCAGAATATCAAGACAGAAAATCCCACAATATCTGCTTTAAACTGTGTTATCTGAATTCACACTTAGATGTGTGGTTATCTGAATCCACACTCAGCTGTGTGGAAGGGCCCTTTGATTGTGTGGATCATGACAAACTATGGATCATTTTTTTTAAATGGGTGTGCCACAATGTTTGATTGTCCTGACGCATAACCCATACTTGGGACATGAGGATACCATCATGATAGAATGCAGAGAAATGGAATTATTTCCGACTGGCAAGTGGGTCAGGCAAGGCTGCTTTTTATCAGCCTATCTGTTTAATTTGTATGCTGAACATAATCATACATAAATGAACAAGATTCGACTCAGAGAAAGGAAACATAAATTGAAAGAAGGAACATCAACAATTGTAGATTTGCAGATGACACAATTCATGGGTTCGCCATAAGTAAAAGTCAATTCAATACCAATAACACATGACCAGCCCTTGAGTGAATGTGACTGGAAAATGAAGCCAGTTCTCTCTGTTTCTCTAATGTATGTATGTATGTGTGTGTGTGTGTGTATACACACACACACACACATATACATACATATATGATGCCAATATGGGCCTGGTGATAATGAATGAATCCCCGTAACAACAGCTGTGCAAGAGATGCACAGAAAACTAGCTGTAATGTAAGTCACTGTCTCACGTAACCAAAAAATAATTAATTCTCATTTTGTTTGGAGCTAATAGTTAATAGTATATTTGTTATCTGTAAATCGGGTTTTCATGGCTACTACTTGCCCTGCCTTTCTGGGTGACCATCATTTAGCAAGGATTTATAAGCCTTTCCTTTGCTTCATGGTGTGCTGGGGGGAATGAAGTCCTGTTGTAAGTAGTGCATTGCAGTGAATCAGTAGCTTAACGTATTCCTAGAAAATCACAACTTTTTTGACAGCTGCTCTGTATGAAAACCTTCTATAAAATGTCCAGAATGTGTGTTATAAACTGACTTAGGAAGTCCAATAAAGTTTCAAGCTTTGGCAGGCTTCTAAGCTAGATTTATAGTCTAATGGAATTTCCATCATCCTTTTTTCTAATCTCCCCAATGACCTTTTTCAATGTGAAGGTTTACCATCTTCACACTAAAAGGAAAATCTAGTGTTTTCCAAGCATTTGAATGTCAATAAAGGGCCTTAAAATATTTTAACTTATTTATTTCTTGAGCAATTCTATTTCATTCAGTTTTATATTTAAGGTAGTCCTGTGCTTTCCTCCCCTTTTTTCCATATATGTGAGGGGAAGTCATAGGGAGGAGGGAGCAGGCTTGTTTTCTGCTGCCCCGGAGACTAGGACGTAGAACAATGGCTTCAAACTACAGGAAAAGATGTTCTACCTGAACATTAGGAAGAACTTCATAACTGTGAGAACTGTGGAACACTCTGCCCCGGACTGTGGTGGAGGCTCCTTCTTTGGAGACTTTTAAACAGAGGCTGGATGGCCATCTGTTAAGGGATGCTTTGAATGTGATTGTCTTGCTTCCTGGCAGGGGTTTGGATTGGATGACCCATGAGGTCTCTCCCAACTCTATGATTCTATGTGCACATTCTGGTTTGTTTATTCATCCTTCATGCTGTGCACAATTTCTCTTGATTTAGTATGCTCTTTTATCAACTGTTTAAATGTGGGTGTAACTCAAATTCAGTATAATCCCTCAGTCTCTATGCTTACATATTGAATTGTAATTTTTTTTACCCATATATTATCTTTAAAACACAACAGCATATATACAGAGAGAAACCCCATGCAACTGTGCAGACTTATGCATGCTGACTCACATCTACATCTCCATGAATGTAAAAGAATGCAGCTTAAATCTAAGGACTTCATTGCACAAAGCTGCTATTTCATGACAGTCATGCTATTATAGATAGCAGACACACAATGGGATAAACATCTTCAATATTGCATATATCTTCATTTGCAGAATTGCATCAATTCAACTATCTGTCATCCTGCGATTAATCTTCTGTGTACCCCTTGTAACCCTGGCTACCCACACTTCCCCACTTATCAGTATTTTTTTTAAAAAAATAGAACAATTTTAGCCATGAAAAATAAAAGAAAATAGGCAAACATAGCTGTGAAATATAAAATAATTAGAAAACAGATAGCCGGAAGGGGCGAGATGTGGCATAGAAGTGGGATGGAGCCATTGTACCAAGGTATGTGATGGGAATGCTGTGGGATTGAAAGATATTGATGAGTTTTGCCTGTCAATAGTGAGGGACAGATTAATCATAAGGAGGAGGCAGACTGGCTGCTGGTTGGATGATATTATGTGATAGGGGCCATTACTAAAGGGGACGGTCTAGCTTCAATACTGATTTGACTGCCTGCCTCATGTGATAGAATCCTTAGACACAACCACCAAGGTGGTTGTGCCATTCCACATATGATGAATTTCTGGGTGTTGGATTTGGCTGTCATCATTACTCACCTTTGTGATGACCTGTGGCCCTTTAGATATTGCAGGACTTCTAATCCCACCTTCCGTACCTAACATAGCGTTTGGACGGAGAGAATGGGAACTAAACTACACAATCTCTGTAAAGCTTAGGTTCCACCTCTGTTGCAGTCTCTTTCCACATTTTTCTACAATGTGAATTGCTTAGGGCTTTTATGTAGGTGTTGTTGGTGCTTATGGGCTCAAAGCCAACCTTAAAAACTCTGGCATTGACACCAAGAACTGGGAAGCCCTGGCCCTTGAGCACTCTAGCTGGAGGTCAGCAGTGCTGCAGAATTTGAAAAGGCATGAATGGAGGGCGAAAGAGAGAAACGTGCCAAGAGAAAGGTGTGTCAAGCCAACCCCAACTGGGTCCACATTCCACCTGGAAACCAATATCCTCACTGTGGGAGAACATGCAGGTCAGGAATAGGGCTCCACAGTCACCTACGTACCCACCACCAGTACACCGAACTTGGACAACGAGGGATCGCCTAAGTAAGTAAGTAAGTAAGTGTTGGTGCTTAGTATCAATACAAACGAGGCCATTAAAAATTGCTTGGTAAGGATTTAAAAATTCCAAATCTGTGTGCTGCTCTTTACTCCACAGAAATAAAAGAGAGTTCTCTCCACCATCCCCTCCCTTTCTTCTATTAAAACCTAGTAATTGAAAACCTATCTTGTTCTTACAGAACGGTTTTGCTGTTGTAAGGCCCCCGGGCCATCATGCTGAAGAATCAACAGCCATGTAAGTACCAGGGAATATTGCCCATCTTGGAGCACTAGGGTTACTGGCAATCACCTGCATTGTGCATGTCTCTGAGGAGCTCTAATTGTTAGCAGATGACTGCAAAGGCTTTCGAGGTACTCCCAGAAGTAGATTTATGGTCTCAGACATCATATAGCTTTTTGTAATTTTTTAAAAAAACATGCACATGCGCAAAGACACGTCACATATTCATGTACAAATGCCCTAACATTATTTATAACTGTTTTCCTGACCGACGTGCTTTGTAAAATTTTCTGTTCTTCTCTGTTCCACAGGGGGTTCTGCTATTTTAATTCGGTTGCAATTACTGCCAAATACTTGAGAGACAAGCTAAATATAGGCAAGATATTGATTGTAGATCTGGTATGTATATCCTTGGCAAGTCTCATCATTTTAGTCCAACTAGATAAAAGGTGGGGGTGGGCACAGGGAGAGAGGGAAGAAAAAATAAAGTTTGCATTTTTTTTATATGTTAGGCTTTCCTGCCTTTAATACTTAAGTGTAATAAAGGTGTGTGTTTTTCCTCTGAATTTGGGAACTCATTAAATCCAGGATGGCAGGACTGAAACTATAAACATGTATGTTTCACTTTAATGGTGTTAACTGCGATTTTAATGAGAAGAAGGGGCAGATCAGGGTGAATTTTATGGTTCTTAAATGAATTGATACTTCCACTGTTAAAATGACCCAACATGTATCCAGGTTTACTTTTCCCTACAGAATATAATTTTGAAATAGTTAAATGATGTGGCTTTGGTTTAGTAATCAGTTTGGCTTTCCTCCTTAAACTGACAATAATTTGGTTAGTTGTGTAACATAGGAGAGGGTTTCCCCCCCCTAAACAGATCAACAAAACCTTTTCCTCCAGGTTTTAAAAATGTATCCCATTTCATACAAGCAAGCTAATTCAGTAACAATAAAAAGACAACTGTTCAGAGGAGATTTATCTTTTTATTGGAAATGAGTTTCAGATAAATGGTTGGTTCAAATGCAGTTGTCCTTTGGCATGTTGTCTATCTATTTTCCTAGTGAATATAATGAATTGAGCTTAAGTCCCCGCTTCAGGATTAACATCATGCACAGTCCTAAGGAAAAGCTAAAGGTTGATTTATGAGCCCCATTTTTTGTTTTGCCTACATTTGGGAGGAGGTGTAATAAGCTGACTGAAAAAATGCATAGACAGGAAATGAACCCTGGCATCCAAACCTAGCCTGTTACATCTGCATTTAATTAATTTTTGCAGGTGATAAAAGATTTAAAGACAAAATACGTTTAATATTTTTAAACCATGGACTAAATAGTTTAAATCTTATTCATATCAGCATTTATAATTAAATCTTACTATGAAGTCATTGCCTTAACATTTAGTACTTTTTCTCCAAAGTATAGCGTGTGTCGCAGTCATTGAAGATGATGCAAGGAAAGAAATTAATTGTTTGTTCCTTAGAGCTATCCTGTAGAAACCTTTTGAAAGAAATATCTCTCACCATGATATAGTAGAATTTAAACAATAACTACACTGCACTATGGTATATTTTTGTCCCAAGTGAGAATTTTAGTGTATGAAATAAATAGCAGGAGGAAAAGCAATATGTTTTGACTATACTGTTTTTAGAGAGAGAGGCAACATGGTGTAGTACTTTAAATGTTGCAGTAGGAACCTGGAATGGCAGGGTTTGAATCCCTGCTCAACCATAGAAACCTGACTTTGGGCAAATCACATTTTTTCATCATAAGAGGAAGGCAGTGAGTGAGTGAGTGAGTGAGTGGTAAACTTCTGAATAAATTTTGCTGAGAAAATCCAATGGCAGGGTTGACATGAGTCAATTTGAAGACACATAAAGACAACATCCCTTTTTGTTTTCTGAATCTTATAAGAATTCCAGTGATGCACTCCCAAAAGAGACCAGTGTGTTATTACTAGTCTATGATTCACAAACATATCATGTGATAATTTTTGTTTGAGTGTCCTAAAATGGCTGGGATGAAAGGGATCAATGGTAAAAGACAATACATTTATTGGGTCTGTAGTTGTAAGAATAAAATGCTTTGCATAGCAAGTACCTGACAATTGTACACACAACAATGTAGTTAATGTGGGTACATTCTGCATCTTAAACTTTGTTCCATGGCACACAAGGTTTAAGCTTGTGATGTGGCTATACAAAATTAAGCCAAATAGTAATACACATTGTTTTCTGTAATACTTGGGCAGTCTGACAGTATGGTCTTAAGGTCCTGTTATTATAGGAGCCTTGTCACCAGCGCTAATTGTGATGTCATGTTTGGCTACCATATGCTCAACCAACATTAGATTTTACATCTTTGGCAAGGCTATCTGTTTTAATTTTCATACATCACCATATACATTTGATGGTACATAATACAGACATACACATGCATATATAACAACAGAAGCATCAACTGAATTCTTGCAGCAGAAACAAAAGCTCCTCCAGCAACATCAGCAGATTGGTAGGCTGCTCAGAGTATTGTAAGCCACCCTGGGTCCTTTTGGAAAAGGGGTGGGATATAATTAAAGATTATTATTATTATTATTATTATTATTATTATTATTATTATTATTTGCTGTAACCATGTTATCATCTTAGCCATACACAAAGAGCATTATCTCAACACATAGTGCTAGTGAAATAATATATGACATTGTTCTAATTTTAAAGGTCCAGAATCAATCCACAATTCACAACCAGGTAAACACAAATAAATTTCAGGGATCCATTTAGGGCAGAACACTATGGCCTTGGGGCAGGACAGTAGCAATGAGCCCAAATGATAAATAAATCCATAATTTTTGGCAGGGGTTTGAACCCACTGTGACTACAAAGGCAACATCATATAAAGTACTACTTATTTGCTTAAGAAACAGCCAACTTCATGTAAAGAATGCAAGGATAACAGGAGATAGTGTCATTCCAGTCAAAACAATAAGCAATCCTTATGGAACAATGAGAATAAAAATTAATGGATCCCCCAGCAAAAGTATTCAAATGCCACTGTTGGATCTATTTTCACACAAGAGGTACACCTTGGACATGACAGTTGTGCAGTTTATGGCTCTATGTGATTAATCTAGACACAAGAAACAGAAAAAAATATTACATGAGGATAAACACCAGTTCTTTTGAATGATATTGTGTGGTGAGGGCAATTAGTATCAAGACACTGCATGCATTTCAGCATAGAGAACTGCATATATTCCATCTCAGGAAAAGGGCAAGCCAATCAATCAATCTCTAGCATGCACATGGCAAGCAGCAGTCAGTGAATATCCAAAATTTGAGATCACCAAATTTATCTCCAAAATTTAGGGATTATGAGCTTTGAAAATAAAATTCAGCCATATTTTTCAATTTACTTCTCAGTTTCTGATCTTTGTTGAAGGTAGCTGCATCCTACCAGATATTAGTATGCTGCAATTCCCATTAGTGCCAGTTAGCATTAACATCAGGGGTGATGACTAGGGTCACATCTGAACTGACACTATAATGCAACTTGGAACCAGTTTGGGAGGAAAATAGCTCCTGGTCCCCCCTCTCCTGGCACGTCATATGCACCAAATCATGTTTTAAAAACCCAATTTGGAATGAATTAAAGTCCTGTCTGGAACTACCTTAAGATTACTGTATTATACAAATCTAATGCTTACCCTCATTTTGGTGAGGTAATTTAGCCAAAAAAGGTGAGCACTAGATTCAAGTAAATAGGGTATTATTGGGAGGGGTCAGATTTCTCACTCCAGCACATCTGTTCTTTCTGAACTGAAATGACCCAAAAGTTGGAATCTTTTTTTTCATTGGAGATTTACTGTAACCCATCTTTGATAATGTATGCATATATATTTTTAATTATTTACTTATTTATTTAATACTGTAGGATGTTCATAACTGTAGGACTGGTTATTGCCATTTCACCTACCTGCGTCTGACAAAATATATCCTCTCTAGGAATTTTTAGGCCATCCATGCTATTACATGGTATGCTTCTGTGGAAAGTTACCATAGAGTCCATAGAATACCATAGAATTTACTAGAGGATCTAGCAAATTTCTGGAATGGACTTTTCTCTAGGACTTTTCTTGGTACTCCAGAGAGACGATGTCATTTATTTTAATAGGGTTTATTGTTATCCATCATTATCTATTTACAATGATAAATTCAAGAATGTAAACCCTGTGGAAATAGGGGTTGAACTGCATAAAATAAATGTGATAAGTATAAATAGCAATCCCTTTTTCTACATAGCTCTGACCAAAATGACCAAAATGTCTGCAATATTCCTAGGACAGTTGCAGCATAGATTTGTGTGTAGTTCTTATGAATGTATTATGCACCTGACATTTATTTTTGGTCTGTTTCTATTTTTGATCCATAGTAGGGATTATTAGGAAAGCCATAGGGTGCCATAAGCCAATATAGAAGTAGGCAATTAGCAGAGTGTCTTCTTTTGGACTATTTAAAGAAGAATGTGGCTACAGTTAAACTAGGAAAACATGAGATGAAAGCTGGTGCTATTGTGTGTTATCTGAAAAAAGGGGAAGTTGTCAAGTGAAATTTAAAGCACTTTAAAATTAATGGTTTGGATCCAGACTTAGTCCTTTTGCATCAAGCATGCCTTTTCAATTTATCAATTGATTTTCTGCCCTTCTTGGAAAACTTGCATAGCTTAGAAGTTGTTCCAAAGTTGCAAGAAGTGACATTTTAAAGAGTTGGTGACACACAAGCTCATAATAATAACTACACCCAGACTACATTTGACTTCATTATACTTGGAAATCTTTGAATGACACACAGTGATATATTACAATGATTACCTGTACAATCAGCCATTACCTCTCCATGGGAACAGGTTTCAGTGAAAATACTAATGAGCTCACCATGAATTTTAAAATTCCTTCAAATATGTTTTGCGGTTTTACTTTCCCAGGAGCCATTTTCCATAATGAAATAACATAATCCCATTTCACCATTAATTTGAACATATCAATAATAGTCTAATAATATTATGAATTCATAAAACATCCCATAGGGTTACAGTGTAACTCCAGCCCAAAATAACTGAAACTAAATCTTAATTTGGGTGAAAAGCAGATAGCTAGTGTGCTCACATTTCATTATTTTGGAAGACTCATATTCCCACTGGAGAGAAATGCATTTAATGACATCAAGAGACAGATCCAAGAACTTGAGGTCACTCGCTCCCTTCTTTACGTGGTGTGTGGCCTTATGGCATCTATAGCAGCCACGTAGACATGTCCAAAAGAGGAATAACATTATTTAGTTTGTAAATTGATTACATTGGAATCTAAACTTTCATTTTGAAACAGAGTACCTAGAGCATCAAAACCTAAATGCTCCTGTTAGTTTCAACTAGAGTAAACCTGCTGAATCAATGGGTTCACTCTAATTCAGACTTACTCTTAGAAGTTAAACTTGAGTATTATTGAATAAACAAGCACAAAACATAAAAAATAGAGCTCTAATGTGATTGTTGCTATGTGATTTTCCCAATTTGTCAGTGTAGTACACTCCCTTTACTCATGGCTTCATTACCCACACTTACCCACTGCATTTTCATGGTATGTATCCAGCCCAAATATAATCGAAATATAGGGTACACTATTATCCACAGTTTTGTGTATGCATGGGATGGGTTAGTCTTGGAATGTTTTCCCCATGGCTATATTATATAGGTTTAGATCCAAAGTAGGCAACTAAATCCATCCAATCTAAAACTGCCTCTCCAGCAACCTAAAAATGTGACACAGAGTCAGACGTCCTTGATAAATAGAGTGAGCTGCCCTACCTCTGCAGATGTTTATGCCAGCTGACAGTATCTTGAATGCAACATCTGATCTTGGGAGGTTAGCAGGATCAGGCTGGTTAGTACTTGCATGTTGGACAGCCAAGGAATGCCAAGTATTAGAGGCTAAATTCATTCACTTAGTATTTGTTGCCTAAGGAAACTCTGTGAAAGTAATAGAGTTTCCATAAGTCATCAGGCAACACTGAGTCTAAAGTTAACTACAAAGTGGTCCAGCCTTGTAACAGTCACATGTAGGTCATCCACATTGGAGCACTAACTCCATCTGTAGAAAATCCTGAATTGAGAGAGTATCTTCCTGCTGCTGTCAGATGCTAACTGAGAGAAGTTTAGGGTTATCATGACAAACATGCACCCCCGTGTTTCTCTTGATTGAAGGACTAAAGTATGAACCTTGAAATCCACCAGAAAACAAAGTTGGGGTTATCCTGTGCCAAACCTCACAGAGCTTGATTGTTCAGGATAGAAGATGGTTAGCTAGTTGTTGATGACACACCAATAAAACCCCTGCAGCCAGAATCCTATCACTTGAGGTGGGAAGCAAAGTGCTGCCCCATTATTTAGGATCCCATCCTACCACCTACTAAAAGATGCAGAGTGGCATCTGGCATCAGAAGGAAGTGCCCCTCTGACAGGAGGAGGAAGAGATACAACTTCACTATTCCTGCCCTGACAGAAGCCAGCTTGACTAGTAAGCTAGCTGTGTAGAGTGTGAGCTTCCACTGCAAAGGAAACACAAGGCTACTACAGTCTCTTTCTGCTGTAGTGGAAGTGGGCATGACCACCATGCTGTGTCCTCTTCTTTCTTCTGCTTCATTATAAAAGTCAGGTGTCACAGTGCTGGACACAGTGAGCAGCACAAACCCTTGAAGGAAAGAGGCAAAGGAATAGCAAATTTGCTGCTGCAGCTACTCTAGCCATTGATGGCTGCATTCAGGCATGTAGCCTGGGGGGGGGGCTATGTGGGCTTCAGCCCCCCCGAAATTCTCATGGTGGTCCGCGAGAAGGCCTTACTGGTACATTATTTAAACTGTTATGTTTATTCATATCATGATCTGATCACCATGCTCAATATATCCCATATGCATGGGGGTATTGGGGTAACAATACAAAAGGTTTGCTAGGGTAGACCCTCTTTCACTCAGACTCACCCCCCCCCCCCCCCCCCCCCCCCCCCCCCCCCCCCCGGAATCAAAATCCTGGCTATGTTGGACCTGCATTGGACCTGACTGCATTTGGAAGTATTCAGAATTGCATGGTGCTGGATTGACCACAGTGCCAGATTTAAGAGAATTTAGGCTCTGTGCTAGTTAAGTTATGAGGCCCTCTCTTGGGCCCTGAAGAAGGTAGGTCCAGTAGGCTTACACTGCTTACTTTGTGGCACACTCCCATAGACTATCGACTATCAATATGTCTGAAATTGCTCCAAAACAGAACATCTTCAAATTTAGAATTGCACCATATAAGCAAAATCCATTGTAGAAAATTTGGGGAAGGGACAGGAAGATCACTTTCAAAGTGATGGTACTTACATTTAAGGCCTTATATGGCCTGGGGCCGATGTACCTGAGGGACCGCCTCACCCAAAAGTAGAAGGAAGTGCCAACCCCAAAGATCCCTTCATTCTGAGGACCAAGATTTATTGGAAGTTCCCAGTTTTAAGACCTTGTGTCTAACAGCAACCAGATGCAGAGCCTTTACAGCAGTGGCACCATTACTCTGGAGCACTCTGCCACTTGAAGTCCATGCCTTGCGGTACTTATCAGCATTCCGCAGGGCATGTAAGACATATTTGTTTTGACATGCTTTTGATCTTTGATATTGCTGTTGTTTTAAATAGTTTTAGATTTCAGTCTGTTCTTGTAAGCCGCTCCAAGCCCTAGGGGAGTGGCGGCATATAAGTTTGAATAATAAATAAATAAACAAATAAATAAATAAGCCCTCCTAGCCAACAGGGCCCTGTGCTTAAGCACACCTAAGCACAATGGTAAATCCGGCACTGATTGACCATCTAGTGAGACCGAATTGTTGGGCACACTGTCATTTCTCCCCCCTTGCCAAAGCATATCCTAGTGTATTACGAAATAACCCGGTAAGCAGTGCTGAGTAAAAAAGTCTCCCAAGTTTCTTTCCACCAATTTCACATTATACAAGCCAGATGAAGAATCAAATCCTGGGTGACTAATGTTTTCCATGCAAATGACCTGGCATTAAAAAGCAGGATGTTCAGGCTGCAGAATCTATTTTCATTGTCACTATGACTTTCTTAGTTAGACAGTAATGTGGGTGGAAGGAAGGATTGTGAACACTGCCCTCAGTTCCTTGTAATGTCCAGAGCTCAAATCTCCCATCTTCCCTTATCAGCAATTACCCTCATTCCAGGAGTGAATCGGGGCAGATTAGGCATTTAACTTCCACCCCATAAGAATCCTGTCACCCCCATGAAATTCTCCTTTAGTTCCTACATTTTTAGTATGCAGTAATTTAACGTCCAGTTGAGCATTTAAAATATACTTTAGACATTCAAAGAAAAGCAAAATTAGCAAGGGGACATGAACATGATTTCTGTCTGAATGATTTTTAATGTCACGCTTGTTCCAACGTTAGAAACTTGGGGTCCATTTTTCCTCTTTCAAAGACATGTCTTCAAGTTCTGCTAATGTTCTACAGGGGAGGCCCTTCTCTCAGTCCCACCCCGTCACAAGAGGGCCATCCAGCTTTTGTAGTAATAAACAGCTATGAGCAGTGGGAGGGAAATAAGGTTTTGGAAGCAAGGAAGGCGAGGGGGAAAGGATCTGGGTGGTGAGGGAGGTGGAGTGAAAAGGTTTTTTGGAGGCAAGGGGGAAAGGGCTTTTGAGGATGAGGGATGCTGGAAAAATTGAGGAAGATGGAGAAAAGTGTTTGGGGATGAGAGAGGTAGGGGAGGGGGAGCAGGAAAGAGGAGGCAAAGCTTGGAGGGGGAGGGGGGAGAGGAGGAAGCCACGGAACTTTTCTGTATTCTTCGCAGAGCCCCAAGACATCCATGGAACACTCTTTGAGAGCCGCTGCCCTAGAGCATCGATGCCCCCAAACCTTTTAGGGCTTTAAATGTTATTACCAGCATCTTGGATTCAGAATGGAAATATATTGGTTGCTAGTGCAATTCAGAACTGGTGTGATGTGATATCATAATGGAATTCCATTGAGTAATCTTGCTGTTGCATTTTGCACTAACTGGAATTTCACAATCATCTTCAAGGGCAGCCCCGTGTAGAGTCCATTGCAGTAGTTTAATTGCATGGACAATGGCTAAATTATCCTTATCCAAAAATGCCTTGACCAGTGGATCAGTGAATTGTGCAGAAATTTTTGTAATTTCAAAACCCATGGGTATGTGTCATTTGAAAATGGGCATACTTCTTAAGGGGGCACATTTAGCACTGCAGCTTGAGAAAGGTGTATCAAAAATGTGGCTGCTAATAAGTAGCATGTACATGACTGTACAGTATCATGGCTGTGGTGTGATCTTTTTGGCTCCATAGCCACTCTTGCCAAAGGATTTGTGACATAGCGGTTCATCAAAGCATTCTGCCAGTATGCATCCGTCAGGATGAATGGCACTCGTGGCCTTTGGAGGCCCAGGCTACTCAAAGCTAATGAGATCATATTCTTACATCGTCAGCTGTGGCCGTCATGATTTTATGAACATGAAGTATGATGCCTTTTCTGCATCTGGGATACCTTTTGATGTGGATCTTGCTGCTGAGGGACTGCTAACTGAACTGAACATTTCAAGGAAGCCAATTTACTCAGCTGGTTGCAAACCCTTTGACCTCTATAGTAGAATTTGGCAAATCAATGAATGTGCGAATGTTTATAGTGTTCTTTTAAGAATGGCAAAAATGCTGCATAGTCCATAGATCCTCCTGCAAAAAACTAGTTTGTATTTTAAACATTCATCTTTTTTTAAGGCCAATGAGACTAGTTAATTAAGCCTAAGGGGTTATGAACTGTTGGCAGTTAATAAGTCATAAAATTCCTCCATAAAACAGGATGCAAGATTCCATCACTGAGACAGGGAGTACAAAGAGCCGGTGTATAATATTTAATTGTACAAAAGGACTGGGATTTCTCAGTGACTGCTCATCTGGACTCTCAAGGGCATGCTCACTGTGGTTTCCTGATTTTTAGAAGCCAGTTTAAAAAATGAGTGTATTAAAGAGTAATTTGCCTGAAAGTTCAGGAAGTTTGGGGTGGGGAAGGGTGGGCTGGGAAGGGAAGGGGTAGAGGGAGAAAAGGAAGGAAAGAAAGAAAGAAGGAGGGAGAAGGAGGGAGGGAAAGACAAAGAGAGGGAGTAAGAGAAGAGAAGAAAAGAAAGCAAAAATGTTTTAAAAAATAAAAAATGGGTCTCTCGGCACACTGGCTTGGACATGATTGCATTTGTCATCTGTTTTCTTTCCCCTTAAGGATGTTCACCATGGAAACGGTACACAGCAGGCTTTTTATGCTGACCCCAACATCCTGTACGTCTCCCTCCACCGCTATGATGAAGGCAACTTCTTCCCTGGCAGTGGAGCCCCAAATGAGGTTAGGTTTATTTCTTTAGAGCCCCACTTTTTTATTTGTATCTTTTCAGGTAATTGCATTGCATGATTACCCCTAATTTTCTCATCCTCCTCTGGTGCTTTAAATTGCCCTAGATTACCAAATAGCCCACTGAGACCTAAAGAGGGGGCGGGTGGGTAGAACAAGTGCATAACCCAGAACAGTCCTTGTCAAGCAGGGCTAGGCTGATTTGACAGGCTGTTTGATGTTTTTTTCTCCCCTCTTTCTCTCAAAAGGAACATTTTGTATGTTTTCTTATTTTGATTCCCTCCCTGCTTTTCCTCTTCATCCTCCCTCTGGCACTTGCCCCTCCTTTCCTCCCTCTTTTCAGGTTGGAAGTGGCCCTGGTGAAGGTTATAATATAAATATTGCTTGGACAGGTGGCCTGGATCCCCCCATGGGAGATGTAGAGTACCTCACAGCATACAGGTTGGTTCTCCTTTCCTTCTGAAAAGTGCCAAACAGAAGTAACCGGCTGATAGCTGAAAGAGTTTGAACTCCAGCAATCTTAAAAAGCTATAATCATGACCTGTGGTGGAATTGGCTTCAAGTTTTTAAAAGGGGGGTGGGTTGTTTGGAGACTTCATTGGCCTCCAACAATACTAACTCTGACTAATAGTCAGTATTAGTATTGTTGGCCACACATGAGCCAAAATGTATTCATTCAGTGCTGGAAACAATGACGGAGGAGATGGGATTGTTGAATTGTTTCTGTTTTTTCAGTCTGTAAACCAATTTATACTCCAAGGAATATAATTAACAATGCAAATCAGAGATACAGAAAAAATATTGGAACTATGATCTCAAAATAATGGGATGGGGTGGGGTGGGGTGGGGTGGGGTGGGGGGGGGGTCACAGTGATTTCTCCATATATTCCTTCTATGTAAGTGGTCTTGCCATTTCCCTTCATCCCAAAACCATAAACAAACATATATGCAACTAATTCCCTCTAATTTCAATGGTGTTGTCTTCCATGTAAGATGCTTAAAATGGGTGTGTTAGGATTAATTAAAAATACATGTAAGGATGTGGTTGAAATGCTACTTTAGCTGCCTTCGATGTTTTGTTTCAACACATAATTGAAACATGTGCAGCAGACCAAAACGATACCTGCCAGGAAACATTTGGAAAAACTATCACTGGGCATAGTTGTTCTGTCATATGTCATTAGAAAATAATAGAAGGTGGAGCCTGATGTGGCAGCAGACAGAGCTGCAAAATGTTCCAGTATTTTAACCCAATATGAAATTAGGAAGAACAGGGAGAAAATGTCTGAGATTTTGTAGTTAGATTGTGTCCTTTAATTTGCTACCATTTGATGATATATTTCAAATATCAATTCCCTCTGTGTAGAAAGAAATAATGTTGGATTTCAGGGAATGTTGTGCTAATGCCAGTCTATAGAAGAAGGCATTCTTTTGCTAGGCATTGTCTTTTAGTCCCTAGCTTTTACTGACATAGTCTGCATATTAGCCTGTTCTCGCTCAAGGGAATGGACAGATGGGCCTCTGGGGCAGGCTGGTAGAAATAATGCCAACACACTGAATAAGTCCTTTACACATCCTGATTTTCTCAATTTCATGTCAGAAAACAGAACCTAAATAAATAAATAAATAAACTGAATGGTACATACATTAATATATCCACATCACCTTGCCATTTGTGGTCATTTTTCAAAAGAGCTTGTAAAGTTACATTTTAGACTATTGCTGATGATTTTAGGAGTTGTAGTCCCAAAACTTAATGTTTCTACACTCCTCCTCCTCCTCCTCCTCCTCCTTACTATTGCAGCTGCACAGGTCAGATTTTGATTTGCTCACCATGATGAAAGTACTTGGATGAAGTCAGGACTAGACAAACTTCTTGAAGTCTGAATAGGAAGGTCAGATTAAGATTGTAAAGGCTACAGTTCAAGACTTTTCCAAAGGACAACGAACAACTGAGTAATTTCTACTGTGACCACTGTCAAATGTTATAATTTCAAAAGCTATATCTACTGCATACCTTTACTGTACTGCAAATATACCACAAACTCTATAAAACAGAATTTTCCCCTCCCCTAAACACTCTTGGGTGGCCCATGAATACACACGGCATTGAGATGGTTTCGTATGCAGACATAACACACCTGAAATTGAAACTTAACATCAAAAACCAAAATAGCATAAAAATCACAGTATTGCACTGTTTCTGTAAAATGGGTTTTGGTTTTATAGATATTATTTGCCTTCTGTGGCAAACACCTAGTCAAAGGTTCAATTACTGAAAGGTAGGCTGTCAAAGCTGGTAAGCCTCAAATGCTGCCTACTCTTAATACATTCATTAATCCTCTGCCAAGATCTTTGCAGAACTGAAAAAGAAATACAAAATAAGAAAAAATAGGGTGTTTAGATGTCTCATGGGTTTTGTGTTGGATCTCAGCCTCCCTCACCTCTTAAATGCTTTGTTCCCAGTCAACCTCAATTGGAGAGTAATGGTGTAATATTAAAAATATTAGATTGAGCCAAGCACACTTGGCATTGAGTTCAAGTATGCTGTTATAAGAAAAATAAAAAGTATAACCATTGAACTGGTGTTATCTAGTTCTGAAGAGGTAAGAATACATTCTGAGTTAGCCTCACAAGTACTAGTTAAGAACTAATCTTGGAAACAAAGGTTAGATCAAAAGGGGCTTTGGGGACCAAATTTTCTTGTTTGAAAACAGACATCAGGGGAGGAGAATAGATGGTAAGTCTTTTCCTAAGCAACTGTGCTGGTATTTTGTCCATTGTTGCCTTCCTTGACACACTCGTTCTAGCACCATTCCAGATCTCTCTTCCTTTTCTCAAGGGTAAGGGAGAAAAAGACCTATCCCAGGACTTCTCTCTGAAAAAATGTCCTCCAAGAGATTTCAGCTCAGCTTTTTCCCAGACTGTTTATGACATGAAGAAGGTTTACTCGTGGTAAATGGGAACTGGCTGTCTGAATATATCTACATGCTTTCATATTTGCTCCCTTTAGTGAATGAAAGGGCACTTTAGTTTGTCTAACTAAATGGTTTACTTGGGCCAAAAGCCAGCATTTTGAGTGTATTTGGAAAGAAGAAAAGCAAGAGTCCTCACCTTCTCTAGGACATAAAGCTTGCCTTCTGACCCAGACTTCACCCACCTAGTGTGAGATGAGTTATCACATTAGAGCTGAAAGAATAGGCAAAGAGTATGCACCCCCATCCAAAATCCTGTGGCTGCTATCTGCAGAATCCTGGGCCTTGTTGTTTAGTGAGACCCAGGACCTCTCTAGCTGAGCATTTTAGAGAACCCTCCCTTAAACTACAAGCCCCAGAATTCTGCAGAAGGCAGCCATAGAATTTCAGATGGGATGCATAGTCTTTGCCTACTCTTTCAAATCTAGTGTGATACCAGGACTCTCATGATCTCCAGTCAATATGACCAAACAGACCATGTCTGCTCATCCTTTTAATCGTAACACTAGAATCATTTCCTTTCAGTGTCTTTGTTCTTGCAGCATTTTATCTTTCACATCAGACTATGTGGTGATTAAGTATGTAATATGGCAACTATTTTGAAGCTTTCAAAAATTAGAATACCTGAGAAAAATGATAATTTCAAACTATTTTCCCTGTATTGTTGTGACACCTAAAGCTATGTTTATGTGATTTTTAGGGCTATAAAACTCATGTTGCTACAGTATGAGGCTAATCTTCCACATAATGATAAACTATTAAGCAGGTGTGAACCCCAGGCTAGTGAGTTTCCTGCTTTCTTCCCCTCTCCTCTTCATCTTATATTACAAATGGCAATTAGCAATGTCTGATGCTGATTTAGTGACAAACCATAGTCTGCTAGTCTATACAAATGTATCAAATCATTCTTATGCTTCTGCCATTACAATCCAAACTTAGAAAATCTGTGCAGGTTTGGATTGTAATGGGGAACTGTGGTTTGTGAAAGATCAGAAGAAATAGCAAACTGGTTTATGTACCACCTGGTTGGATGTTACAATCATTGTACATATGAGAGGATAGAAAGGAAAGAAGAAGAACATGCAAGCTGAGAATTCCTGTCTATTTATACTTGTGGCATCAAATTATGGTTTAGCATGAGTTAAATTACTATTTATTTTGTTAGTTACATGTATATCCTGCAACTCTACTAATATGCTTGTGTCACTCTTTTTTTCCACTTTATCTTGATATCTTACCGGCCATGTAGGTGAAGCTGAGAGAGTGTGAATGGCCCAAGTTTTACTGACTCAGAGGGAACTAGCACTTCTTATGGTGCATCTACACTGTAGAATTAATGCAGTTTAACACCATTTCAATTGCCATCTTGGGATCTGTATTTTGGTCAGGCACCAATACTCTTGGGCAGAGAAGGCTACATAGCTTGTGAAACTACAGCTCCCAGAGTTCCATAACATTGAACCATGACAGTTTAAATAATGTCAAACTATGGATTGTTGTATGTTTTCTGAGCTATATGGCCACGTTTCAGAAGCATTCTCTCCTGACATTTTCCTGACAATTTCAACAGACAGGAAGGAACCATGAAAATGAACAAAATCTAGCTACCAGTATTAAAAAAACTCTAAAGTCATTACAGTAAATAAAGAACACTAAAAAACAGGGAAACTCCTGAAAAAAATAATAATCAGGGACAGCAAATCACCTCTCAACAAAGAACTTCACCAGACAGTAAGAAGTCACACCTGAAACTGCTAGGCCATTAAATGCTAATCAAGGTGGCCAATGGAAACATTCATTCTTGCCTCAAACAGACAAAAGTTCTTTCTCCCATCCTGGACATTTCACAGATACATAAACGCCATCTACCTAGCTTCCAACAGACCTCACAGCCTCTGAGGATGCCTGCCATAGATGCAGGCAAAATGTCAGGAGAGAATGCTTTTGGAACATGGTCATAGAGCCTGTGATTCCAGCCATGAAAGCCTTCGACAATGCAATGTCAAACTGTGCTTGGTCAACAATGTAGATGCACCCTTTTATTCAGTCCAACAATATAAACACTGCAATGCACTGACTTCCCCCTCACTGCACTAGTATAATTTTAGAATAACCCTACTATGACATAGGTTTTGTAGTCTTGACACTGCATAAAGCATAAAACACATGAATGGATTTATATCTTGACATGCACAAGGGAGAAAGGAGCATTAAGGAGAATACACATCACAGTCTCATACATGGTAATTCTTGTAGTGCTAATGCAATGGTTTCAGAGTTATATTTAAATAACCCCACTGTGAGTATGAGCAAAAATTAATGTGCCAAAATATCTGTGGCTCTGGTTTTGAAAGAACAATTTAAAAAGCAGTGAACAATAGAGACCCAAATGGAATTTTGCTTTGAGCAATGGATTTTCCGCATAAAACTGTCTGAGGGAGGCAGGAAAACAGAATGCCAATGGAA